TCGAGGAACATTCCAGTGACTTTCAAGTCATGTCTTGGCCCCCAAATTCACCTGACCTTAATCCAATAGAGCATTTGTGGTCCTAATTGGAAAACCAAATTCGTGTTGCCACGCTTCCCCCTCGCAATGTGAGGGAACTACAGGACCTGTTGGTGAGCGCTTGGTACCAGATACCTCAGACTACCTATCAGCACCTTGTGGAATCAATGCCACGGCGGGTGCTAGCAGTTTTGAGGGCTAAAGATGGTCCTACATGGATGCAGGAGGGTCATAATGTAATAGCTCTTCGGTGTGTATAATATTTATTATATCAGGTATTATATTAGTATATTATAATAATTGGATCAAATTATTAGACGCACTGTGGTGCTATAATAATTACATGTTTTGCGCGAGTTTCTATGCAATAATTTTATATTTAAACATACATGTAATGGGTTTTTATTCAGGAGAATTTTTATATACTTTCTACTTGTAATTATTTTTAACATATTGCATTACAATGTTAACCAATTGATACACTAGCATAAACAAATGTCAATCGGTTTCAACAGCGTAAAAACAGTACCTGATAATTACGATTTCACATAGAATCTTTAGTGCGTCTAATAATTTGACCAGGGACTTTAGCTGTAATTAAATAATATTTAAATGCGTGCATGGTTTAAATATTAAAACTTACGATATAAATCTATGTTCACTGAGACCCTATCTGGAGCTGTGAGATTATTGTTCACAGAACGGCAAGTTAGTGTGCTCAAAACATCAGATCGTTGAGGAATGAAGGAATAATCACTTCTCGCAACTCCATGGGAAGAAATAGAAGGTCCTCCCTTCAATGCAACAATTCCCCGCCACCAAGACAGCTGTGGGCTTGGTTTACCTGCAAATTAAGATTTTCAGAGATTAAAATATTATACAGGGTGCGTAGCCAAATCTTTCAACAAAAAATAAGCACCTTTTAAGTAAGGGAGAGTGGGGTCAATTGTAACAGGGTACGACTGTAACAGAGAAAAAATTTCGAGTGTCGGGTTCTAGATTTGGTTCCTAGCGGATGCACAAGGTGTATTTAATAAATCTACATGTACACCCTGCTGGCAACCATTTTTATGTACTTTTGAAAGAGTTACATCACAAAAGATATTTTCATGCTACGTAAGTATTTTTGTTTGGTATTAGAATATTAAATTGTAACAAAGTAATTTTGTTTAAACAAATAAAAATTATTAACCGAATTTGTAAGTGGACACCTTAATTAACATTTCAAAAAAAAGATTTGTTTTGATAATTAACTAGCATTGTTTTTAACAAATGAAGCTGAAATGACGTCTTGGGGACGATTGTAACAATAAGTAAAGGGACGATTGTAACAGCAAAAAATAAAATTCATAATTTCAATTGCAGTTGTTTAATGCCTTAGGTCCCATTTCTTATGTTTACAAACCATTGCTTAACTCTTTAAGAACCACCAATAGTTTCTTATATCATTTATATTATGTTGCACGTGCAGTATTTTTTTGTCACCTTTCACAGCATAAATTAGAATTTTTAACCCCTTAAAGTTAAAAATTTAACCCCTTAGGTCTCTGTTCATTATTATTTTTACTCCTAAAATATCACTACTATTTTGATCAATAAACAAATGTATCACAACTATGATAATATGCATAATTAACTATGTTTTAGTTGAATTTATGAACTGTTACAATTGACCCCGTAAGTGGGGACAATTGTAACAAGTGCACGACTGTCAAAAACTGCTAATAACTAATATAATAACATTTAAAATAAAGTATTTATTTTTTTCTAGTAGAGGATAGTCTACTTTACTCGTCTGTCAATTAATACAAATAATATATTGGATTTTTTGCTAGTTAAAAATGGTTAAGTAAAAAATATTACAGTTGACCCCACTCTCCCCTACTTTTTAAGCACGCAAAAATATTTGTAAGCACTATATACATTAACAAAATGCAAAATAATTTTCAAAGAATTTAAATGATCATGATAAAATAACTAGTTTCTGAAAAAGAACTCTTTTCTTGATTATATTAGCCATTATAAAATGTTCAAGAGATTTTTTGGTTCGATATTAGATGGTGAAAAATAAAGTCTGGAATTGAGATTATCTTGCAAAATGCAGCAGAGTTGCACATGAGAGGGCAATAATCCCACCGGACCCAGCTCAGCAGACGCACATACGGACTCGCAAGTATTTCACCAAACATATAAAATTATTGGTGCTTTCATACGCTATGGACCGACGGTACGCCGAAGTGGATTGTGATGGAATGAATTGTGAAAAGTTGAATAGAACAAAGTTTAAAGCACGCTTTTGCATAATACGTGGCGAAAATCGATACGGCCAAGAAAAAAAAATCTCATTTTAGAAAAGGGAAAATTAAGCACTTTTTAAAACCACCCAATGAAAAAAGCACCTTGAAAGTCTTTAAAATAACGAAAATCGAAAATAAGCACCTTTAAGTACTTTTCAAAAACGCTTCGCACCATGTTATATAAAAATGAATAACCAAACAAATTAACTACTGCCTTATACGCGTCTATTTGGCAAAGACATTTCTAGTAGACAAAACCATAATTCTGGTTAATAAAACTATGTACAGACAGTAGTCGGTGATTTTTTCCATTCGTATGGCAAAAGTTAACCTAAAATTCCGATTTTCATAATTATAGTTCTGGATCTTTCTCAAGGATAACAAGTTCGCAATTATAGTTCTAGATCTCTCAATTCATCACATTAAAAATACGTTAATACGAAAAAGTAATAACTTACATACTTCTATTTATTTATTTTAAACCTCGTGTTTTCGCTTAATTTCTTGAAAGAAACAATAAAAAAAATCAGTATCATTAAATTTAATTCGAATTGAGTAATTTTTTATTGTCTTTAAGCAGATGGCAACACTATGACACATTGCCACACATTTAGTAATAATTACAAAACTGAAATGTAAATTTAACCGAAAAATTGGCTTCTATGCTATGCTCTAAGGTATCATGCTAACCAAATGTTACCTCATTTAATGATTAAAAAAAACTTTATATGATAAAAAAACAGCATATTTTATTGTTAATTTTACCGAAATCCTTACCAGAGCTCCTCGGTAAAAATTACCCAGATTTTAATATGCTTAATAAAGCCAAAAACACGCTGAATTTTACTAAATTCTGGTAGTTTTGACCATGCTTTTCTTTCTCAATGCACTGCAGATTAAAATACTAAAGAAATAAAAGAAAGGCTGATTTTGGAAACTTTTGTAAATGAATGCAATAGGAAATGATACACTTTATTGCATTTTTTCCCCATCACTTTAATGATCACCGAATTTATAATCTTTTGTATAAACAGTTTTTATTAGCCTTGTAGAAAGACGCCTCCCAGTAATAATTGTTTGAAACAGACTAAGCCTACTTTTTAAAGTCACTTTATTTTAAAGTAAATAGTTCAGTATGCTGGAAAATATCGTAGTCATAGGATATAATTTAGTGATCTGAAGATAGACAATTTCGTTTAAATAATCTTCACGCTTAGGCAGGACTCACACTGAGAAGGCAAGCTGTAAGAAAGAAGCACGCATGTGGCGAATCTCCATATTTTTGCGTTAAGATGCGCAGAGGTCATGTGCGCATGCTAATACAAAAGTATGGGAATCTGGTTCCGTTTGCCTCCCCAGTGTGTGTGGCCCGCCTTAAGTAATATATATCCACAACAGCTCGCTATAGGCCAGGAAGTCAAAAAGGTTAATTTTAGTACCAACGTAGTCACGCTGTTTCAAAAAACGTATAGCTCCAGTCGGTAAAAAATTCTCACAAAATATATTTTTAAAATAATATTTTTAAGAGAGTTCCATGATGGGCAAAGTACTGAGTTTATAGGTACGAATACATTTATTATAGTTTAAATGAATTAAGAAAACGTTGAAGAATTAAATAAGAACGAAGACATTTTATTAAAAACACACTAAAAAATGTAGGGTTAAACAGCGTATTTAACTTATCATTGAATGTTCCATACAATTTTAATTTAACGCTCGCTTATTTTTGCATTTGGCAAATTCATGTCAAAGAAGAATATTCATACGTTTTCCAGACCAAAGATTGTCAAAATAATTGCATTAACTCAAAACGTATTTTTTTCCCCTGACAATAATAAAGTATGACACAAAATAGCATGAAAGTTATTGAAAGCTAAATTAATTATTTTTCCCTTCCACTTATTTTCCACTGGTTCAAAAACTAATTCATTGGTTTTAAACGTTCTAATTCAATTTCAAACATTTTCAATACAAAGAAGTTGTAGTAAAAATTTAATACGACATACCAAAGATTTAATCTAAATTTAATCAAATATCTTGGAAGGGATATTTATTAAGAATGCTCCAGGTTTCCATTCCATGGCAGGGCAATAAATAAAATCTTCATCGTTGTTTCAATATTCTTTCAACAATATTCGGTTTAAAAAATTTTAATAACATTTCTTTCATAAAATTAAAACGATTGCGGATAGTCTTTTTATTAGTTTAATTTTGAATGGCTGTTTTAGATTTATTATTACACATGAGCTTTGACTTCAGTATATTTAATTTTATTATATAATCTAATAAAGAAGAATACAAAATTCATTTGAATATGAAATTAATTAAATTATTTTACCATCGAATATCAATTTTTTCATTAATATGAAACAACCGAGAAAGTAGTTGTATAGTGAAATATAAAATTAATATTCTTTATAAAAAATTGATTTCTTTGAAATTATCGATTAACTCATTGATTTTTATAATTTAATTTCCGCTTTAAAGAATGCTAAAACTTAAGGTGTAATTTTAAATGTACTCGAATGCTTACGTTTTGCAGTCTAAAATTTGAAAAACACTAGTTAATATGAAACAGGTTTGATATCATATATAATCACAGAAACTTGCGTAAATTATGTTAGTAAATAGTTATAAAAATTATATTTGAAACATATGACAAGAACATAAACTCTACAAGATATTCCCATAATGCTTTGTTTTTATAACTAAAATGTAAGAATGTTTGCTTTTGGGCTATCACTTCTAAATCAATGAATTTACAATTCTCAAATTCATTTCAAAAATTTCAGAAATGTTTCAGATAGCACTAAGCTTAGTTTGTTTTATTTATCGATTGAGATAAAAGTAGTCAGTCACAAAGAACAGGTTGAATTAATCTTTATGAGAATAACGATTAAGATTAACTAAGAGGCGGCATCTTTCAACTTAATCATAATTCACATTTTGATCCCTGTTAACCGGGGTCAGAAATTCTGTCCCGGAGTTTAAAATTTGGAAAACTCCCTTTCTGTTATCTTCTTCCGGATCAAATTACGGTAAGATTTTACAGAACAAAAATCTGATTTACTGTAATATTTACATTAAAATCACATCATTAAAATAACATTAAAAAAAATGAAATTTTTTTTCAAACTTTTACAGTAAAAATGGATTTTACATTAAGAAATATTTTTTTAATGCTGAAACACTGACTCATGATGAAAGTATTTTTTAGTCGTTTTTTTTTTATTTTTTTACAGTGTATACTGCAAGGGGCGTAGAAAAGCACGATTTGAAACAAAAAGCTTTTTTTTTTTTTTACTTTTTGTTATATGTTAACAAGTCGGGAAAAAACCACTGTCAAAAAAAATTTAACGATTAAAGGAAAGCATTTCAAAAAATGGTTTGGTTTTGAACCAAAATATATTCTTTCCCGAACTACACCACAGAAATATTTAAAAATTATGTTAAAATATTTAAGCGTATAAAGCCAAGATTGAAAATGTGTTCCAAGCTTAGCACGTTGTTAATATGGTACAAATTGAACCATATTTTTACAAATAAA